TGGATGAGTTATTGCCAAGGGTAGAGCACAGGTTTTGTGTTAGGCACCTTTATAACAATTTTAGAAAAAAGTTTCCTGAAAAGATGCTGAAGGACATAATATGGAAGGCTGCCAAGTCAACATACCCACAGGCATGGGAAAAAGAGATGAAGGGAATGAGGGCCATCAATGAAGAAGCATTTAAACATATGATGAAGACCCCACCAAGGTTTTGGAGTAGATCCTACTTTAGGACTGAAAACAAATGTGATGTTGTTCTCAACAACATGTCTGAGTCATTTAACAGTGTCATTCTTGAAGCAAGGGCAAAACCTCTAATCACTATGTTAGAAGACATCAGAACATACATGATGGAGAGATGGGCAAATAACAGACTGAGATTTGGAACTTTGGATGAGAATGATATTTTTCCCAATATTAGAAAGAAACTTGATATCACAAGCACATACACCAACAACTGGCTAGTAAGGTATGTCACAGCATGTGAATAATGTATTTTGTTTGTTTGTTTATGACATACATATGACTAATGTACTTTTGTTTGTTTAATCATTTAGGATGTCTGATGAACATATATTTGAAGTAAGGCACATAGAAAATCAAGCTGACAAATTTGTTGTGAACCTGAAAGATCAGATATGTTCATGCAGAATGTGGGAACTCACAGGGCTCCCATGTGTTCATGCTCATTTTGCTATGAAGAGTAGGAATTTCAAGCTGGATACTTACATTCCAGATTATTACAGGGTAGGAAGGTACAAGGCAGTTTATAAGCATGTGATCTACCCTGTTAATGGAGCAAACTTGTGGGTTAAGACACCATACCCAGATGTGCAACCATCCAAGTTCAGGAAGATGCCAGGTAGACCTAAAAAGAAGAGGAACCTAGAACAAGGTGAAATTGATGGGTCTGCTCGCAAGTTGAGAAGAATAGGTTTTCTGGTGAAGTGTAGTAGGTGTAAGAAAGCAGGACAATCAGCCCAACTCAATCACACTCCATCTCATACTGCTCAACAAACTAGTCAACACACTCCATCTCAGACTGCTCAACAAACTAGTCACCACACTTCAACAAGTCAGCCTACTCAACAATCTTGCCAAGTATCTCAGACTTCTAATAGAAAGGCTGTTAAGGGCAAGACACAAAAGCTTCCTGTAAGGAAGCCAACGAGACCTTTTGTGCCACCTGGTCCTACAACTAGGTTGAGTGCTACGAAGAATGTTGTTGGCCCAGTAACAAGGAGGTCTACTCCAACAAAGAGGACCACGCCAAAGAAGAAACTCTAAGTTATGGAACATGTTTAGTTACCTATAACAAGTTTATGTATTGTACTGCTGTCGTTTTGGAACAAGTCTATTACATTCTACTGTTGTTGTCATGAACAAGTTTATGTGTTATAATTTGAACATGTTGTACTCTACTGCTGTCATGAACAAGTTCTACAGTTGTTGTATTTTACTGTTGTCATGAACATGTTATTTTGGAAAGTATTACAGGTTTATAATTTGAACATGTTGTACTCTACTGTTGTGATATACCAAAGAGTTGAACCTAAAACTCTGATATAATCCAAACTGTTATATACCAAACATAAAAAATTGTGACCTAAAAGCAGAACCGTTATATGTATGCTGCTTAGAATAAATATGCTTCAGATTTTATCTTCAGTGTATATACCCCCACAGGTATATAGTGCAAGCAGCTTCACAGTACATATACCCCCACGGGTATATAGTGCAAGCAGCTTCACAGTACATATACCCCCACGGGTATATAATGTAAGAATCTTGATCAATTTAAAAGCAGAACTATTATACGTATGCTGCTTATACCAAACATGTATGCTGCAAAACTGTTATATACCAAACATATAATCCAAACTTTTATGTATGCTGCTTTATGTATAACCAAAACTGTTATATGTATAACCAAAACTGGGTAAAACACTTTAACCTAAAAGCAGAACCTAAAAGCAGTCCAAACTGTTATATGTATGCTGCTTTATGTATGCTGCTGTTATATACCAAACTGTTATATACCAAACATAATCCAAACTGTTATATACCAAATATAAAAAACACATTGACATGATATAATCCAAAACTGTTATATTCATTCATGTTGAACTGCAAAAACTGAAATTAACTAAACTGATACAATCCATATATTAAAATCCAACTATTACATTCATGTTGAAGTCATACAAACTTTAACTAAACATAATACTTCCAAACAAACCGTAATAACCTAACTACCCCTAACAACTAATACAATGATAATCATCACAAACATCAAATTCAAAATCTTTTTCCACTTCATGATATTCTTCATTTCAATTTCAAGTTTCATCAACTTTTTTCCTAATTCTTCATTTTCCATTGTCGCTTTTTCAATGTCCTTTTTGGCTTCAGCAAGTTCTTTAGTTACCACACCCAGCCTATGGATCCAAAATTGCTCCTTCTCATCACCCATCTCCTCATAAAACCAATCAAAGAAGCCACAACCAGCTAGCATACCTCCCTGTAAGATTCATTGTTTAGAGGATGATGGATAATAAACAGAAACATAATTTACACAAAAACATAACTTCAACAGAGAACAAAATCAGCTTGCATACCTTATAGTTTGGACAACCCCAAAAAAGTTTTCCCATATTCTTAACAGTAGTTGCCCTTTGAAGAACAACCATGTCTCCATAATGGCACATGGGCTTCCATCATGACCGACTACAAACATCCGAATCCCGACTTTTCGTTTTTGAAATGGAAGAGGAACATCCGGATTTCATGCTTGCCCTAGATTAATTTACGGATTCGTGATTAGGATTGGGATTTGTGATTTGGGATTTGAGATTGTTTTAGGGATTTCAACAGAAGGAGGAGGGAGAAGGAAGACACATCATGAACAAGAATGTCACCTCATCTGCCAGATATATAAAACAAACGAACGTTTGGGGGCAACTGACGGTGAGGACTAAAATGACACCATTTTAAAAGTTAAAGGACCCATTTGGCACTTTTTAAAGATAAGGGACCAAAATGGACCCCGAGCTAATGTTAAGGGACCAAAAAGGTTATTTTGCCAATTTTATAATTTAAAATTAACACTTTAAAATTTAAGTTTTACAATTCACAATTAACCTTTTCTTTAAAAAGTAAAACTATTTTGTAAATAAATTAATTACTAACATTTTCTAAAACATTAAAACTAATTTTTATTTTCAATTAATTACAAACTCTTTCTTAAAAAAAATGTTTTCTAAATTTCTTTTTTTTCACTTTTAATTTCTAGTTGAACCTTAAACTGAAAATTCTAAAAATAAAGATTCTCAGCATTCCCGTTAGTTGTCATTTCGCTGTTTCCAATTTGTACTTGGCTTACTAACCCTTTATTGCTCCGTATTTTTCGCACTTTTACTTTATGGTTGTAATATATGTGAGGACATCGTCGCTTTTGTATTTCATTATTATTCTTGCATTTCTGTTCGGGTTTGTAATTTATGCGAGGCTATCATCGCTGTCGTTTGCAATTCTGTTATTCTTACACTTTCTCGTACTCATATTCTGCCACGTAATTAATTTTCCATTTTCATAGTTTACAGTTAATTTCTCATTCCGAAGGATTAGGTCTAGCTGTTCGACTGCCGAGTCAATAGTCCTCTCCTTTGACCCATTAAAAACCCTAATTGCCTAGGCGTCCCGCCGTGGACGAAAATACCTTTTACCCTTAGGTTAAGGAGTCTCCGCACATCGTATTAGGTTTCCCGCCATGGAATACCTAGTTTACCCTTTCATTTCAACCCAAATTTCAACGTAGAAATAGGATTCTCCGCACTCCACGTAAGTGCTTCCTTAAGAACGCTTACTCCCCTTGAAACCTTCACCATAGTCAAGAAGTTTCTAACCTCCCTTTCAAGGGGAACTACGATTACTCTGATTTCATCCCTAACCAGGATACGTAGGCACAAGATGCGAATCTTGCCGAGGGAACTTAGGACTAACCCTTAGGTCTTTCTTTCACCTTCTAACCCTTAGCATATACCCTCAAGCAAATAATCGAGCAAAATAGTAATAGTAAACAAAAGGTTCCTATAGATTACTTCAGAAGTTTAGGGTGTTAATACCTTCCTTGAGCTTAACCAACCCCTTACCTAGGTATCTCCTCACATTGTTTATGATGTAAAAATTAGATTTTCCTTCTTTTGACCTTTTCCTTCGGATAAATCAAAGATCGGTTGTGAACAAAAGATGTGATTCAAATTAATTAATAGTTTGATATCTTATTCTCACCGCAACACAAGGATATGGTCATCGTAACCAATATATGAGTTCGGGAGACATTTACGCAAGAGGAAGGTATTAACACCCTCACGTCCATTATACTTAACAAGAATCATTTAGTTAGGGTTGAATGAGTGTTAGCTTATGTTAGTTTCTAATCTTCTATCTATTTGGGATGGAAAAGAGAGAGAAGAGAAAGGTTTTCGGATTTTTATTAAAGAGAAAGGGGAGCTAAGGGTTTTTATTACTAAGGGGCTCGACAAGACTTTGCAATCTCGTGTTGTAACACCCTGATTTCTAACAGCGAGAATGTATTTTTGAAAGGTATAATTTCCATATATAAATTAATCAAAGATTTCCATTGTATGAAAATAGCGTCCCTTTCTTTTTTTTATCCCTTTTATAAAGACAAATCCACAACCAATTTTGTAAATGTTTTAAGAACTCAACATATGCTTTATGAAGAAATTAGATGAACCATTTTAGAACATAAAACATATTGTACATATAGACGACGAAGTGTCATAAGATATGAAGTGTAGATAGAGGTTTAAATACAATCCATAAAACAATTTGAATAAAAGTCCTCGGTAGACACTCGCACAGGAGAGCTGCCCCAACGAGAAAATTTCTAACCATGCATAGTGAAAGTCATATGGCGCACACCATCTAGTACTAAAATACTCCTACCAGCCACGTAATCCATTCCTTAACTAAGCCTAATGACAACCATAATATCCACCTACCCCGGCTCCGCATAATCCCCTACAAGCACTTGATAGGGTGTGATAAGAGCCATCCTCATCATATCCGCCCTCATAATCGTGCTCTGAGGAATCCTCAGTGTCGTCATCCTCTGCCTCACCTACAACTGACTCAAATGACTGCACGCGTGCTTGACCAATATGAGGAAGCTCGTCTATGGGAAAGACGTCACGAGTGAACGTCGAGGGTAATCCTAACGACATATCTAAGTCTAGGGGAGGCATGGATAAATCACGAAAGAATGACTCTCTTCCCACAGTTGGGGCGTATGAGGGTCCATGTAGGGCTGAAGGAGAAGTCAGCAATCCAAAACGGTCAATCACTCCTGAGAGAAAGCTAGAGATGATCAAAGAGGATGGAATCTGGAAAGTCATAATCCTGCGGGAGTAAGTGGTCTTCAGATCCATATCAGCAATAGTGGTGGTCTCAAGTACGTTCCTGGTGAATGAGACCTGTCCTAGGGTCGGATTGAACCCCCAGGACGTCTCAGTCAAATCATCCAGAAAAGTGAAGTTCGACATCTTCGACGGCAGTAGCTCCTCGCATCTCGGGAGTGTCATGATCTAATGGCATATTCGCCCACACATCCACTGAAAGGGTCATCAATCCGAAAATAACAAATATACAATAGCGGAGCAACAAGCATAAATAGAGAATACATTATACATGGCTAGAGATCTCATTCTAACACATGTATATAATCATTTACAACTACAATACACATAGTGGGTAAGACTCATTCCTAATGCAATGTCTGTATGCCGACGCACATGATTCCGGAATATCAATCCCTCTGCAAAGGGTCATGGTATCGCTTCAAGATTTAGCGCCATTAAGGTGATGGGTATCTACACCATCAATTAGACTCAAAGATCCACATCGAGATAAGGTGGTTCCATCTTGGACATGCACCCCGTGTCACCTCTTCGGTGTGCACCTCGTAACTCCTCTCTAGTAGCCACGTAACCATGAAATGCTTGAGTATACAATTTTCTATATATGCATTTCAACACATGTGTAACACCCCAACATATCATATATAAAAAATGTACCTCGTGCATTAAATTATTTCATATAAAAATATATAAATATTTACTCACCTTCACAACTAGTCATCTCCAAAAAAAACACGTAAGAAAATATGAAGCAAATATAAATATAAAAGTATTTTTTTTATTATTGAAATAAATATATATAAATAGAGAGATATCCTTACGGTCACAATTTTTGTAAAAAAAAAGAAATTTTGTTAAAATCAGTCGATTGTATATGCACATTCATTCAAAATAAACTAAATTAAAATGAAGTTTTACGTTGTAGTCTTCGTAGTGTCATCTGATTTAGTATTGTTTTATTTATTTACTTTATTGGTTTGAGCTTAATTTAATGACATAATGACAATGTAAAATTGCCATCTAATATAAGTAAAATATGTTTTTTTTTTTTTTTTTACTTTAATCTAACAAGTATATAGTATACTTAATACGTTTGATATCTGTGGGACAAGTAATTAAATAATTAAATGAGTCTTTTTTTTTTCATGGAAAATTTTCAAATTAATGTTAAATGTCTTTAGAAGTTAAAACTGATATTAATTATAGTTTAAAATTATAGTCTATCAAAAACATGGATAAGCTTAAAAATTAACTAGCTTTTACCAATAATTATGACACTGATTTTGTTTCCAAAATTTATCATATATCATAGTACATTTTAGAATCACATGAAATTTTTCTCATCAATAATCTCTTTTTAGCTTAACGTTTTGTTCAAATATTCTAGTCAAATAAGATACTGAAAATAAATTGAATTATCATAGCAATAGAATAACCTAAAATAAGTTATTTTGGTCTTAAAGTCTTTAAACACTATTTTTTTTTATCCTATATCAAAAGTAACAAGGATCTATTCTGTTTATTTAAGAGAAATCAAAGTGTAGTTAACGTTTGGAAATTTAAAACAAAATATACTTTATATATATATATATATATATATATATATATATATATATATATATATATATATATATATATATATATATATATATATATATATATATATATATATATATATATATATATATATATATATATATATATATATATATATATATATATATATATATATAAATTTGTTAGTAATTTTGTACAACTAATTTTTGAATAAGTTTATCATATAAACTTTCTATAAAGTGTAAAAGTTATCTTTTAAGATATACTTAAAGCTATTATAATTTCAATTAAGTTAAAACAATTGTACAATTAATTTTTTCATAGCATAAGCCAATATTATATAAACTGTTAGCATATATATATATATATATATATATATATATATATATATATATATATATATATATATATATATATATATATATATATATATATATATATATATATATATATATATATATATATTTAAAAATTTTAAGCGGATAAAACTACCGTTTATTGAATAGATCAAAAATTAATTCAAACGGAGCAAATATTTTTATTTTATAATTCTATAATAAATAATTTTGTTATTTTAACCTTAAATTCTCGTTATATAAATGGGTTGTTTCAAAAATTAAGGTGGCTAATTTGTCAAACACTAAAGAAACTGAAGTCAAGATTTTTAGAAATTTTTTATCATGAACCACTAATAAAATAAAAATCCTAAAATATTTTTAAAAAAACTCATATTTACTTATTTAAAATTATTTAAATTTAAATCCGGTCATAATTATTAACGATGTGTGAATACACTATAATCTTAAAATATTTATTTATTTTAAAATTACGGATCTTACACGTGTCTACGTATCCTCATAGTGCAATGAGAAATTTAAAACCTTCGTAGTTCGGGGACTATGGGAAAAAAGAAAAAGGTGGAAGGTGTCTCGCCAAGGATTAGGATCCTTGTGCCTACGTATTGTCATTGATAAATGAGAAATCAAAGCATCCATAGTTCTGGATAAAAGTTTATTGGTCGATTTTAGCGAAAGATATTTAGTCACATTCGACATAAAACATTGCTTTATTCAAAATAGGCGAGGAGCGAACATTTGCATCACAACAGAATGGATTTACAAATCAACATTCGTGGAAAACGCCTCTTATCTCAACTCAAAGTAGTTTGCGGACAAAGCGATGTTTTGCGTCGTCTCAAGACACAATATCTCTCATTTATGAAAAAGAGTTTTTAGGGTTATTCGCACGGCGACGAAAAAAGTAGTTTGATTGGTTTGATGTATTTTAAGTGAATGACGAACATTTGATTAAATGTTCAAAAAGTTACACCAGAATGCTAGATCCTAACAACCCTTATTCACTCAAGTTGTTATGAAAATTGTTTGATGGACGACGAACACTTGATGATAATCAATAGTTCAAAGAATTTTGTCAAGATTCTAGATCTCAACGGTCCTTACTTGTCCAAGTTAATTATTAAGTGTTTTAAGAACAAAAGAAAAGAATGAACAACTATCTCAAAGCGCGAGGCTCGAGACCGATCATTCAAGAGTTTTGTCAGAATGATAGATTCTAACGGTTCTCTTTTCTCGTGTTCGAATAAAAGTTTTGAATATTATGTTTGATTTGAATTGTACCGAATCGATTTGAAAACGGTGTGATTAACTTTGAAATATTTTGAGATTGAAATCAATTATTAGTGAGATGATTATTTACATGTACGGTTGTGTGAACATGGCTAGCAATAACTGAATTATATGACAAAAAAACAATTTAACAAATTAATTAATGATTAAAAATAAAGCAAATAATTAAATAATATCTAATTAACTTAATCAAATAAATCTCAAAGCAAAAACTAATTAGAATGAATAATCAACTTAATCATTTAAAATCTAAACACTTAATTAACTTACTAATTTAATTAATCAAGTACTAATTAAAACTAATTAAAAGCAATGCATACAAAAATCATATGAGAGAGGTTCATTCATGAATATGAGGTGCAAAAACAAATTTGGATGGGCTTAAACCAAGATTAGAGGTAAGCTCAAAAGCTACCAAAATGAAATGACTAAAAAAAAACTTAAAGTAATAAAGAAAAAGAAATAAAAAAACCAAATTAGAGATGAGAGGCAACGCGCCTGTTGTGTTGGTTCGTGTATAGTGTATAGTGTGGTTATGGTGAGCGGTAAAGAGATTTGCAGTGTGGTTTTGTCTCTTTTTGAAGAAGAGTTTTGTTTCTTGAAATGGTTGGAGAAAACAAGGGTTTGTTGTTTTGCACTGAAGGTGTTTGAGTTTGTGTCTGTGAGAGTGGTGTTGGCGATAGCTTTATATGTTTGGCTGGTTCTTCTGTTTTAGTATCTTTTTATTTTTGGTGTTATTGTGAATCAATGGGTTATGGTGGTTAGATAGAATAGTGTGAAAGCAGTGGTATGTTAAGGAGGGAGATGGAAGTTGATGAATAAGATAGTAAGGAGTAGTGCATGGTGATGTTATGGTTTGTGTTGTGCACAAATGGAAGGAGTATGTGGAAGCTTTACATGGCGGAAAGCTTTGAATGAAAATGGCTGAAGTTTGGTTGTTATTGCAACGTTTAAGTAACGGTGGTGGTGTTATGGCTTGTGTTGTGCACAAATGGAGGAAGTTATGTGTTGGTTTTTTAGTTATGAGAATTGTTTGGTGATGAACCTTGAATGAAAACATGTGAAATTAATTTGTGGTATATATGTTGTTATTTATATCAGGAAGTGATAGATCAATTGGATATTGTTACTGTAGCAAAAATGAATAAGAAAATTACAAGGTTCTTTTAGAGTGTATGTAGTAAAAGAAGAATAATGTGAAAAAAAGGTCAGGCTTTGTTCTTTCTTTTATTTTGATCACTAGTGGCTTTTCTTTTATTTTTGAGAAATGTCATGGGATTCCGCCGCTAGCAAGTAATTGGTCCGCTCAGTCTCTCTTTTTTATCAGTATGTGCTGTGATGTCTTGTGTGTGAGCTGCCAAACCGTGTTCCTGAATGCTATGCTATAGGTTACACCAAATGAAGTAAAAAAAACAAAATATACTTTTTTAAACTTCCTAATTAAGTGTTACTTAAGATAGATAAAAAACAAATATTAAATAATATATTTTTTATGACATTGACCATTTAGATTAGGGTTGATAACGTCCAATTAGGTTGGTGTAACCGAAAATAATGGATTGGAATCTTTGTGTGTTTCAAATAAGAAAATTAAGGCGGGGTTTTCCTTCAAGATCATTGTGATTTGAAGGTTTTGGGTAAGATTACGTCAACACAAATTCGAACGAGTGAAGACCTTGGGACAAGGTGGTTTCCTTGCAAGGGAGAGGCGCAATATTATGAATCGTGTTCAGGAATCTTGGGTTCAACAAGTGCGTACTCGAGATAATCGGAAGATTGTAGCCGCATTGTTGGTGACTTGGTAAAGCTTTGATTAAGGGTTTTGAGGTGGTTGAATCAACAACAAACAATAGGGTTTATAGGGTTAAAATTCTTTACCTCTTGTATAAACAAATATTTGTGTCTCTTTGTCAATTTAATTTTCTTTGATTGTTGTTCTTGCAAATTATCGATTTCGTTGTT